TTAAGCCATTCTTTTGTTTCTTTATGTAAATCATTTCAGCTGTCAATCTTTTATATAAATAAGGTTCATTATTTAAAATTTGAATGTCATCCCAATTTAATTTATGTTGTAATTTAACCTGATGTTCTGCTACTACAGACAACGATTCTTTTTGTTTTTTTAAGTCTGCTTTGTGTTCTTTAATTCTTGTGCCTAGCTTTCTTTTTGTTTGGCCTACATATAATGCATCACAATTCTGACAATTTACTTTATATACAACATCAGATCTTTCTATTTTTTCCAAACTATCCTTTCCTAATTTAATAACAAAATTTAGATTGTTCATAGGTTTGTAAGCAATTTTATGTTCAATTTTATTCGCTATATATTTGAATTTTTCTGAAATGTTTTGTACATAAGGAATTAAAAAATATTTATTGTTATTATTAACATCCACATTATTGTTATTATTGTCAATTTTATCGTTATCATATAGGTTTTTTCTTTTCGATAAAGTTTTTATTCTGCCATTTATAGTAGAAAAGATAGTTTCTAAAGGATAGCCATTCTTCAGTAAAATATTAATCAGATCTGTAATGTTTTTTTCATGATACTCTGGATGCGATAAAAAAATTATTTTGTCAAAGAGACTAATTACTATCCCTCTCTTATGCTCCTCCGGATGGCATGACTTATAATTCAAATATCGACCCGAATTAGTCGGTTTTTTATAGTTATTGAACTTTATTTGTTTGTCTTTCAGAATAACAGACACATCTAAAAAATTCACACAACCATCATCATTCTCTTCAACCGTAAATTTAATTCTATTATGATGCGAATTGAATAACAACAGCACCTTATTTATTTGGACGTCCGGGAGCGCAACTAATATGTCATCCACATAACGATAATATATCGGCACCTTAAATTCTAAACTGTTAATTACATACAATTCCAAGTCTTGGATAACTAAGTCCGCTAAGATCGGTGACAGAGGTGAGCCCATTGGCATGCCGAATATCTGTTTAAAAAATTGATCATCAAATTTGAAATATGTAGAATTTAAGATAAACATAATGGCTCCCAAGAATTCAACAATCGGAATTAATGTATTTTTTGAAATATCAACCCATCTATTTTTGATACTATTTAGTACTAATTCTTGTGAAATATTCGTATACATAGAAACTATATCAAAGGACACAATTTTATAGTTCGAGTCTAATTTCATTCCATCTAATTTCTGAACTAATTCAAAACTGTTTTTGACATAACCGATACTTTGATTAACACTTTTATCAATAATTTATTTTAGATAAGATGAAAGCTTATAAAGTGGGTTATTAATACAACTCACAATAATTCTTAACGGATTCCCTTCTTTATGAACCTTCGGCATACCATATGCTCTTGCCACCGTTCCATCAGTGACATTCAGATTTTTGTAAGTTGATATGTTGATGAATTCGTTATCCTTCCATCTACTTAATAACTGATGCATTTGTCTGGTTAATCTCATCGTCGGATCTTTATTAAATTTAATATACGTGCTATCGTCAGATAATAAAGCATGCATCTTCATTTTGTATTCTGTTAAATTCATTACCACAGTCATATTCCCCTTATCCGCTTTAGTAATTAATATTTCTTTATGATTGTCCATAAATTGCTTCACTTCTTTCATTCCATATTTTATTAAATCCATGTTACATTTGTTACGTACTACCATATTATGTGACATTTTTTTGAGAATTTCAATGCTATCATTCCTAATAGTATTACGTACACTGTTATCAAAACCAAAGATATTATGTTCTATATGTTTAATAAATTCTGTGATCATTTTGTCGTTATCTGTTTTACTGTACGGAAGATTACATTTTTGTCCAAGTTGCAATACTATCTTAACACTATTAGGAATCTCCACATTACTTAAATTGATTAACCAATTTTCATTGATATTGTCTAATGAAAATTTCTCATTAAAATTGATAGGATCAATGTTGACTTGATGTAAGATAAGATTATTACTTTTATCAATTATTTGTGGGGATATCTTTCCTATTTTAGCCGGAATGAATTTAGTATCAGCATTAGTGGTTTCTGACCGAAGTAAATCAAACTTAACAGAATCTATACTAGTCTTCTTTGAATATTCAGAACGTACTCTTAAATTTTTTAATTTATTATATATTCTCTTATTTTTTTGCAACCATACTTTGTTCATAATAAATTCTTGTCTACTAAAAAACGAAGAAGATACATGTTCAGGTAAGGCGTGCCATATTAGTCTTTGATGTTTAAATAGATTATTTTTTACATGGAACAAACACTTATAAGCATCCTGCAATTCAACATTCATAATTTTACAAATACAAATATTCTTCAGCCTATTTATATTATTGTTTATATGTTATGTTAGATTGAAATTTGTCTATTCCTTTCACATGCGTTGCTATTAGTTTTTCTTTTAAACAAATTTTTTTAAGAAATGTATTTTTAATCTCACATTGATGTTAAGACGCCATAATTTTATAAATTCTTTTATAAAATAAAAATTAAAAGTAACCCTACTGTGTAATAACCGAAACAACACTTAATAAATTCGAAAAATTGACAAACAGTACGCATGTTTATGCCAGCGTTATAATAATAATTACAATAATAATTTGACCGTGGAAAATATAAAAAAACAAAAATACAATATAAATGGCTTATTCCACGTGCGCAAGATAATATTAGCGATATCAATTATTTAAAATGAATTATATACAGTCAGATATCATAAACGTTTCGATCTGTTCATCAGATTATTATCAATATTAATAGAATTTAAATACACACAAACATCCTAGCGTCATTATGTAATGTTTCGCAACTTCATACAATTAGTCATTATAAAATTATAAGATTCATACAATGTCTCACTTATCCAGACCAATATCATATATTTGTTGTCCCGTCATATTCTTAGTTACTGAATGATTACTACTATTGTTCTGCTATAATGGACCATCAGAATCGTCCCGAATCGTGTCTCCTTATTGTAAAACATAACTTATGTCAATCCAACAATCCGCATAAAATAAAAAATTTTTTTCCCTCAACAATTGGACAAACAATTACCTGATTCTATAGATCAAACAAACCAAAAAAAAAAAAATAATAATTTTTAAATAAATAAATAAATAATCTTTCAATCAAAAATTAAAAATGTAAAAGTTATTAATCCATTCTTGCTCTTAAGTTACCTTTGTACAATTGCTTCAGAACATAAAAGATTTAACGATTTCGAAGATTCAAAACAGGAACACAATCCGACAAGATCGCGATTATCCACCGAAAACACACATCTCGACAACAACACGTGTACTAAGTATCATCGTAAATGTATCTCCCATATATTACCTCATTCAATTACATTGTGGAAAGGGTACCTATTATTATTGGTTGGAATTCTTAAAAGCGGTATATATGATTCTGGGAGTTTTTCCGTGTCAGTTTTTTAAGCCATTCTTTTGTTTCTTTATGTAAATCATTTCAGCTGTCAATCTTTTATATAAATAAGGTTCATTATTTAAAATTTGAATGTCATCCCAATTTAATTTATGTTGTAATTTAACCTGATGTTCTGCTACTGCAGACAACGATTCTTTTTGTTTTTTTAAGTCTGCTTTGTGTTCTTTAATTCTTGTGCCTAGCTTTCTTTTTGTTCGGCCTACATATGATGCATCACAATTCTGACAATTTACTTTATATACAACCTCAGATCTTTCTATTATCTCCAAACTATCCTTTCCTAATTTAATAACAAAATTTAGATTGTTCATAGGTTTGTATAAGCAATTTTATGTTCAATTTTATTCGCTATATATTTGAATTTTTCTGAAATGTTTTGTACA